TCTTCCACATTCTGACAAACTACTGAGTCACTTCATTTGTAATACATGTTTAGGTTAATGGGGGGCCTACCATTCTGTAAAAGACATTCTTAAAACAATCAAAAGAAAAGTTACAGACAAGGAGAAAATATCTGAAAAGCAATATCTAAAGAGTAAAATATCCAGAATGTATCAAGGACTCTAGAAATAAAACAATCAACAAACAACAACAAAAAGTCCATTTTTATTTTTAAAAACCACTCAACAACAAAAAAGAAAAAACACTATTAAAAATGAACAAAGAGTGAATTATACTTCTTCAAAAATATACAAATGACTGATAAGCACGTGAAAAGGTGGTCAAGATCATTAGTCGCTAGGGAAATGCAAATCAAAACCACATTATTAGGCCATCATGTTAGACACTTTCAATAACAATTAAACAACAAAAACCACCATAATGAGAAATCAATTCACATCAGTCACGATGGTATTATTTTTAAAACAAGGGCAATGACAAATGGATGGTATTATTTTTAAAACAAGGGCAATGACAAATGTTGATGAGAAACTGGAACTCTTATGCATTGCTGGTGAGAAAGTTAAATAGTGCAGCTGCTAGAGAAAACAGTAGGTGGTTCCTCAAAAAATTAAAAATAGAATGACAGCATGATTCAGCAATTTCACTTCTGAGTATATGCCCAAAAGGACTGAAAGGAGGAATTTGTGCAGATTTTTATGCATATACGTTTACAACAGCATACTCACAATAGCTAAAACGTAGAAGCAATCCATCAGCAGGTGAATAGATTACAAAATGTGTTATACACTACAGTAGAATATTACTCAGCCTTAAAATAGAAGAAAATGTTGACACATGTTGCAGCATGAATATACTTTCAATACATTATGCTAAGTGAAATAAGCCAGTCACAAAAAGACAAATACTGTATGATTCCACTGATATACGGTATGTAGAGTAGGCAAATTCATAGATACAGAAAATAGAACTTTGCTTGCCAGATGCTGTGATAAGGAAAGAATAGGGAGTTTTTACTTAACTGATACAGAGTTTCAGTCTGGAAAGATGAAATTTCTGGAGCTCAATGGTGGTGATTCGCAACATTTGAATGCATTTAGTGCCACTTACCTGTACAACAAAAAATAATTTAAATGGTACAATTTTTGTCCTATATATTGTATCATATTTACAAAAGCACCCAAGACTTGAGCAGCCACTACACCAAAGAAAAATGAATGACTGGCCGGGCTCGGTGGCTCAGCCTGTAATCCCAGTACTTTGGGAGGCCGAAGTGAGTGAATTGCCTGAGCCTGTGGATTCGAGACCTGTCTGGGCAACTTGGCGAGACCTCATCTCTATAATAAATTAAAAATTAGCCGGGCGTGTGCCTGTAGTTCCAGCTACTTGGAAGCCTGAGGCGGAAGGATTGCTGGAGCCCAGCAGGTCGAGGTTGCAGTGGCCGAGAGCGGCCACTGCACTACAGTCTAGGTGACAGAGTGAGACTCCAACTCAAAAAAAAAAAAAAGAAAAGAAAAATGAATGGCAAACGAACCCATGAAACATGCTCAATATCATTTGTCATTAGGAAATTACAGATTAGATCCAAAATAAGAAAGCATTACACATGTAACAGAATGGCTAAAAAAGGAAGAAATTTTGAAAAATTTTGAAATGTCAAGTGCTAATGAAGATGTAATCAGATTTCACATCTACTGCTGCTAATGGGAATACAAAATGGTACATTCACTTTGGAGAACAGTTTGACAATTTCATATGAACTAAAATGTACACTCACCATGTGACCAAGCAGCCTGACCCCCAGGTATTTATCCAAAAGAAATATAAGTTTATGCTCACACACAGAAACCTGTATGTGATTATTTATAGCAGCATTATTTCATAGTCACCAAAACAATCTGAATGACCCTCAACTGGTAAATGTATACAAAATGGGCGTTCAAGGAAACCAGCCAGCAATTAAAATGATTGATTCATACACTCAATCACAGAGATGAACCTTATGCCAAAGGAATGAAACCAGACTTTAGAAGCTACATTTTGTATGCTTCTATTTATATGACATTATGCATAAGACATATCAGTAGGGATGGAGAGGAGATTAAAGTTTTGTTTTTGTTTTGTTTTTGAGGGGTTACGTGTGGAGAGAAGGTGGACTGCCAAGCGACAGCCCAAAAGAACATTTGGGTAACAACACCTTTCAGTGTCTTAACAGTGGCTATAGGTTTATAGCTATAAACATCCATCAAACCATATAAAATTGTATACAATAGGGAGTGAATTCAACTGCATCTTAATTTAAATAAATTAAAAATTTAAATAACACAAGATGCCATTATGCTCTCACTAAATTGTTAAAATGTAAAGAGTGACAATACCAAGTGATGACAAAGATGTGGAGCTACTGCAATTCTGGCATGTGGCTGGGATGAATAGTAAAAGTTAAAAACATTTTGGACAACAATTTGGGAATTTCTACTAAAGTTAAACATACAGATAACCTTTAGTCTAACAATTTCTCCTTCTATGTATACTAATAAGTATAAAAACATGTTTATAAAAAGACTTGTGCCTTAATATTTATAGGGAAAAACTAGAAAATCTCAAATGTGTATCAATAAGTGAATAAATAAAAGATTATGGTACACCCATACAGTGAATACTACTTAGCAATGTGAAATGCAGGCATATTTAACAACTTTTTTTTTGTTTCAAAAAATGTTATACTGAGTAATAGAACACAGACACAGATAAGTATATCTCTAGGAAATTGTCTAGTAGACAAACTAATTCACCAAGAAAGACAGCATATCAGTGGTTGCTTGGCGCAGGAGAGGGGTATGGTGAGCTGTAAAGAAAAGGCCGGGCTCGGTGGCTCAGCCTGTAATCCCAGCACTTTGGGAGGCCGAGCAAGTGGATTGCCTGAGCCCACAGCTTTGAGACCAGCCTGGGCAACTTGGCAAGACCACATCTCTACAATAAAATAAAAAATAGCCAGGTGTGGTAGCACACGTCTGTAGTTCCAGCTACTCAGAAGGCTGAGGTGGAAGGATCACTGGAGCCCAGAAGGTCGATGCTGGGGTGGCCATGAGCGTGCGTGCACTGCACTCCAGCCTGGGTGACGGAGTGAGACTCTGACTCAAAAAAAAAAAGAGGTGCAGAAAAGTCCTTGGGGTAATAGTAATGGTGTATATCTGCACTGAGGCAGTCATAAGACTGTCACACATCATGGAAATGTGCACTTCAAGTAAGTAAAATTTATTTCATGTAAATTATACCTAATTAAGTTCATTAAAGAAGCACAACAAGACTCACATCTTCATATTTAATCTTCCAATCAATGAGCATGGTATGACTTTCTTTACTGCTAAAACAAAATGTACTGAATTTTCTATTATATGCCACATGCTAACTTCTTAAATAACTTACAGCAAAGTATTACTTAATTTATTTGAGACTCAATTTGTTATAAATCAAAGGAGAATGCAAATAACTCTCTGTTAGTAAGAATAAATGAGCATTTATCTAGATCATTGTTATAACGATTTTACAAATATACAGTGGCAAATGCTATTATGTCTCAGTTGCTGAGGGTTTGCCAAATGCATACCACTCAGAGATAGAAAACTGTGAGCTGAACATAAATTTTGTCTGTATATTCTACTCACATTGCCTGGAATATTCATTCTTTGGGTCACATTTAACTGTGATAAGCAGATACTTATAAAAAAGGAAATGCTAGCCGGGCTCGGTGGCTCAGCCTGTAAACCTGCGCCTTTGGGAGGCTGAGGTGAGTGGATTGCCTGAGCCCGCGGATTCGAGACCCGCCTGGGCAGCGAGACCTCATCTCTACAATAAATCAAAAAATCAGATGGGCGTGGTAGCGCATGCCTGTAATTCCAGCTACTCGGAAGGCTGAGGCGGAAGGATCGCCGGAACCCAGCAGGTCGAGGCTGTGGTGGCCGGGAGCGGCCACTGCACTCCAGTCTGGGTGACAGAGTGAGACTCCAACTCAAAAAAAAAAAAAAGAAAAAAGAAAATGCTAATCTCTATGATGAGGACCTTTTAAAAATTGCTCCTGACCACACTGTACAGAATAGGAGCATTAATGAAAAAGAATTTTCTTCTGCACTGCACATCACAGGACATGTGTTCCCCCTTTTGTTTTACATGAAGATGTTGCATTGGTATTTTAAAGATGTCATGGAAACTCTGCAAATCATTGTAGTAGTTGCCAGGGAAAAGTTATATCATCATACTTCTTTTAAAAATCCCCAACTTGCCACCACGACACTCGGCAAACTCACCAGTGTTCACAGCTCTAAAGCCAGACAGTATGTGTGTGTGGTGAGGATGTGAGGTCATGAATGGGGGGCATCTCAAGTGTAGGGACCAGATCACTGGTATCTCTCCTAGCTTCCAGGTCCATCAACACAGATACTATCTGTTTGAAGGAGGAATGAATGAATGGATGAATGAATGAATGAATGGCTTCCACCTTCACTATACCTAGGTCCCTTCTTCATTTCTTCTGCCCCAGACATTCACCCAGCCTCTACAGAATCCTACATCCTGCAGGACCCTCTACCCCACAGGTCAAAATGAGGCTGTGACTAGGAAGCCAGGGCAGGGGTGACCAGCTCCTTGGTATAAACATTGGGGCACAGAAAAACACCTCAGAGAAGGAGGATCTTAGACACGGGTGTGGCATGCTGCAGATGTCACTAAAGATCCTACTCCAGGCTCTGGTACTCCAAGGAAGCACCAGAAGCAGAAGACTAAGCTTCTGCTCCCTCTGTTCCTCTCTGGGCAGGTCTCAAGCTTCTCTGGGCTGTGAGATACCCATCCAATCTGTGTGGAAAGGACACATGTAGGTTTGAAGTTCCTCTTCTGTGCCAGACCCATGTCTCATTTCCTCTCCAGGTTCCTGTTCCCCCCTGCAGTTTTTCCCCTCCACTCTCCTCCCTTTCTCTGCTCACACAGGAGCCCAGGAACCCTCTGCCTCAGAAATGCTGCTGCTGCTGTTGCTTCTGTGGCCAGGTAAGTGGCTGTGGGGGGAAAGGCCACGGGGCTGGACCGAGCTGACCCTTGTTTCCCCACAGGGGCCCTGGCTCAGAATTGGAAATACAGGCTGGATGTGCAAGAATCGGTGATGGTGCAAGAGGGCCTGTGTGTCTATGTGCCCTGCACATTCCCCTACCCTAAAATGTACAAAACTGACTCTGCTGGTGGATTCTGGTTCCGGAAAGGAGCCAGAGAATCCCTGGATACTCCAGTGGCAACAAACATACCAAATAAAAACATACAGGAAGAGACTCAGGGCCGATTCCACCTCCTAGATGATCTCCAGAAGAACAACTGCTCCCTGAGCATCATAGATGCCAGGAGGAAGGACAATGGTTCATATTTCTTTCAAGTGGAGAAAGGAAATAAGAAATACAGTTATAAACTTTCCCAGCTCTCTGTGCATGTGATGGGTAAGACACAGACCTCAGGAGTGGCCACAGGGAAGGTCATAGGGGCTGCAGAGTAGGGCTGATATGGGATCCCCCATTCTGGGAGAAAGCTGAGGGTGAAGCCTTTTGGGCTCAGGGAAGGAGCTGGACTAGAGCCTGAGCTCCTTTCAGGGCTTTCTCCTGACCCTCAGTGTCCCCATCTGTTTACAGACCTGACTCACCTGCCTGATATTCTAATCTCTCGGACCCTCAAATCAAGCCACCCTACAAACCTCACCTGCTCTGTGCCCTGGGCCTGTGAGCAGGGGACGCCCCCCATCTTCTCCTGGATGTCAGCTGCCCCCACCTCCCTGGGCCCCAGGTCCACCTTCTCCTCGGTGCTCACTATCACCCCACGGCCCCAGGACCACGGCACCAACCTCACTTGTCAAGTGAAGTTTCCCGGAGCTGATGTGACTACAGAGAGAACCATTCAGCTCAATGTCTCCTGTGAGTACCAGGCCAGGACACTTGGGTCCCTGAGGGTGTTGTTGGGAGAGGAGGACCAGGACTGAAGACAATTTGTGTCTGTGTCCTACAGGCCTGGCTGAGTAGTGGAACTAGAAAGACACAAGCCCTGTCACTTCTGCATTTTTGTGACTTCTGGCAGTGGTAGGGAAAATGCCTACTCGAATCTCACCTCCACCCCCAACTGAAGTCAATTCTCCTTTCCTGTCCTAGATGCTCCACAGAACCCAGCAACTGGTGTCTCCCAAGGAAATGGCCCAGGTAGGAAGAAGCCTCCCTACTTGAGGTGGCTACTGGTATAGGGTCTACTGGTTAGGCCAAACCTGGACTTTGAGACTCAAACAGTTGGAGGAGAGACCTGCAGTTAGACATGGAGTCCCATCAGGCCTCTTGGGTAAGGATATTTGAGAATGACTGGCAACCTTCTCCTTGCTCATCCAAAAAAATGCTTTGTCTCTCTCCAGTCACTGAACGTCTTTGGGTTTTTTAACTTTTGTTTTTTTTGAGTTGGAGTCTCACTCTGTCACCCAGACTGGAGTGCAGTGGCCGCTCCCGGCCACCGCAGCCTCGACCTGCTGGGCTCCGGTGATCCTTCCGCCTCAGCCTTCCGAGTAGCTGGAATTACAGGCGCACGCTACCATGCCCCGCTAATTTTTTTATTTACTGTAGAGATGAGGTCTCGCCAAGTTGCCCAGGCAGGTCTCGAACCCGCAGACTCAGGCAATTCACTCATCTCAGCCTTTCAAGGCACGGGATTACAGGCTGAGCCACAGAGCCCAGCTTTATCTTATTTTTTAATTGACGTATAATTGTACGTATGTATGGGTTAGATTGCGATGTGTCAATACAAATAATATATAGTGATAAGATCATGGTAATTAGCATATCCTTCCTCTTTCCCTAATGTTCACAGCCTCTAGCATCCTCTGTTCTACTTTTTTTAGCTTGTGAATGAGAACATGTAGTGTTCAATTTTCTGTTCTTGGCTTATTTCACTTAACTTAATGTCCTACAGTTCAATCCATGTTGCAGTGAATAACAGGATTTCATTCTTTTTTTGGTGACTGAATGTTATTTTACTGTATATCACATTTTCTATATATATATAGAAAATATATATCTATATATCACATTTTCTTTATTCATTCATCTTTTGTTGGACACCTAGGTTGATTCCATGTCTTTGCTATTTTGAATAGTGCTTCAGTAAATAGGGGGTAGATATCTCTTTAATATACTGATTTCCTTTTCTTTGAACAAACGTCTGTAGTGAGACTGCAGGATTATATGGCATTTCTATTTTTAGTTTTTGAGACTCTTCCATACTGTCCTCTATACTGGCTATTCCAGTTTACATTTCCACCAACAATATGTAAGAGTTCCCTTTCCTCTGTATCTTCACCAGCATTTGTTCATTTTTGTCTTTTCTATCATAGTTGTCTTAACTAGGGTGAGATGATACATCATTGTGGTTTTGATTTGCATTTTCCTGATGATTAATGATGTCGAATATTGTTTTATATACTTCTTGGTGATCTGCATGTCTTCTCCTGAGAAATGTCTGTTCAGATCATTTGCCCATTTTTAAATGACTGGGTTTTTGTCTTTTGTTTTTGCTTGTTTTTGGCTGTTGATATGTTTGAGTTCTTTGTGTATTCTGGATATTAATTATCTGTCAGATAAATAGTTGGAAATATTTTATCCTATTATATAGGTTGCCTTTTCACTCGATTGTTTACACTTTTTAGTTTGATATAATCCCATTTGATTATTTTTCTTCCTGTTGCTTGTGTTTTTGACATCTTATACATAAAATATTTTACCAGACCAATGTCCAAAAGTGTTTTTGCTACATTTTCTTCTAGTATTTTTATAGTTTTATGTGTCATGTTTAGGTCTTTGATTCATTTTGAGTTGATTTTTGCATAGGTTGAAAGAGGTAGGTCTAGTTTCATTCTTTAGCATATGGATATCCAGTTTTCCCAGCATCATTTATTGAAGTGACTGTTGTTTTTCCAGTCAGTATTCTTGGTACGTTTGTTAAAAAAAAAAGTTGCTGGGATCGGTGGCTCAGCCTGTAATCCCGCGCCTTTGGGAGGCTGAGGTGAGTGGATTGCCTGAGCCCACAGGTTTGAGACCCGCCTGAGCAACTTGGTGAGACCTCATCTCTACAATAAATCAAAAACCAGCTGGGCGTGGTAGCGCATGCCTATAATTCCGGCTACTTGGAAGGCTGAGGCGGAAGGATCGCCGGAGCCCAGCAGGTCGAGGCTGCGGTGGCCGGGAGCGGCCACTGCACTCCGGTCTGGGTGACAGAGTGAGACTCCAACTCCAAAAAAAAAAAAAAGTTGACTGTAGATACATGGATTAATTTCTGCGTTTTCTATTCTGTTACATTGTTTTATGTGTCTATTTTTACACCAGTACTATTCCATTTTTGGTTACTACATTTTTGTAGTGTCTTAAAGTTTAGTTGTGTGATAAACTTTGTCTCTTTTGCTCAGAACAGTTTTCCTATACAGGGTCTTTTGTGGTTCAATAAAAAATTTAATATTTTTAAAAATTCTGTGAAAAATGTGTTTTGATAGGGATTACATTAAATCTGTAGATTTCCTTTGGTAGTATGGTGATCTTAACAATATTAATTCTTCTGATTTATAAGCATGAAATGTCTATTTGTGTCCCTCTGAATTTATTTCCTCGGTGTTTTGTAGTTTTCCTAGTAGAGGCCATTCAACTCCTTGGTTATATTTATCTCTAGGTATATTTCAGTTTTTGTAGCTGATGTAAATGAGATTGCTTTCTTGTTTTCTTTTTCCACCAGTTCATTTGTTGTGTATAGAAACTACTGATTTCTGTATGTTGACCATGCATTCTGCAAATTTATTGAAAGAGTTTTTTGGCAAGTAGTGGATTTTTTTTTAAATAAAAGATTATGTAATCTGCAAACAGACCTTTGGCTTTATTCTTTCTTTATAATTTGGATGACTTTTATTTCTTTATGTTGCCTATTGTACTGGCTAAATTTTTCAGTACTATGTTGAACAAGAGTGGGCATTCTTTCCTTGTTCCAGTTCTTAGAAAAAAATATTTCAGCTTTTTCTCTGCTCAGTAAGATATTAGCTGTTGGTTTGTTATATATGACCTTTACTATGTTGAGGTACTTTCCTTCAATACATGACTTATTGAGAATTTTTTATCATGGAGGGATGTTGAATTTTATGAAATATTTTTCTGTAACATATTGTTTTTATCCTTCACTCTGTTGATGCAATGTATGTCATTTATTGATTTGTATATGTTGGATCATCCTTACCTTTCTGGAGTAAAACCCACTTGATCAGGGTATATTATCTTTTTGATATATTGTTGGATTTGGTTTGCTAGTATTTTGTTGAAGTTTTTTGTGTCTGCATTCATTAGGGATATTAGCCTATTGTTTTCTTTCTTTGTTGTCTCCTAGTCTGGTTTTGCTATCACCATTATGCAGGCCTTGCGGAATGAATTAGGAAGAGTTCCCTCCACTTTATTTTTTTGAATAGTTTGAGAAGAACTGGTATCACTTTTATTTAAAAGTTCAGTAGAATTCAGCCGTGAAACCATCCAGTCTTGGAATTTTATTTGTTGAGAGCTCTTTTCTTACTCATTTAATTTTGTTACTTGTTGCTGGTCTGTTTGGGTTTTCTATTTCTTCTTGATTCAATCTTGGTAGGTTGTATGTGTCCAAAAATTCAACTATTTCTTCTAGGTCTTCAAATTTATTGGTGTTTAGTGTTCATAGAAGTTTTAATAATCATTCATATTTCTGTGGTATCCATTGTGGCATCTCCTTTTTTGTTTCTGATTTTATTCATTTTTTTTCTTAGTTAGCTAATGGTTATCAATTTTGTTTATCTTTTTTAAAAAACCAACTTGCCTTATTAATTTTTGTATTTTTTTCAGTATCAATTTCATTTATTTCTACTATAATCTTTATTATTTCTTTTATTCTACTAATTTTGAGTTTGGTATGTTCTTGCTTTTCTAGTTTCTTGAGATATGTTATTAAATTGATTTTTGAAATCTTGTTAGTTTTTCTGATGTAGGCATTTATTACTATAAGCTTGTCTCTTAAGATTGATTTTCCTGTTTCCCATAGGTTTTGCTATGTTATGCTTCTTGCATTTGTTTCAAAAACTTTTAAAATATTATTCTTAATTTCTTCCTTCACCTATTTGTCCTTAGGAAGCATGTTGCTTAATTTCTACGTATATGTGTAGTTTTCAATGTTCTTGTTATTGATTTCTAGTTGTATTCAATTGTGGTCAGATAAGATACTTGATATTATTTCAATGTTTAAAGTGTTTGAAACTTGTTTTGTGTCTTAATTTGTGCTCAGTCCTGGAGAATGCACTATGTGTTGATGAGAAGAATATATATTCTACAGCTGTTGGTTGAAATGCTCTGTGCCTGTTAGGTTTATTTGGTCTATAGTGAAGTTTAAATTTGATTTTTTGTTGTTGTTGTTGTTAATTTTCTGTGAAAATGATTTCTCCAATGCCAAGAGTGGGGTGTTAAAGTCCTCAACTATTATTGTGTTGGGTCTATCTCTTCCTTCAGATCCAATAATATTTGCCTCATATACCTGGGTGCTCCTGTGTTTGATGCATATATATTTACAACTGTTATGTTCTCTTGGTGAATTGATTCTTTTATTATTAAATAATGTCTTTTTTTTATATACTTGTAGTCTGTTTTGTCTGATGTAAGTATAGCTACTCCTGCACACTTTTGGTTTCCACATGGGTGGAATATTTTTTTCAATCCCTTCACTTTTAGTTTATGTCTTTATAGGTAAGGTAAGTTTCCTGTAGGTGGCATATAGCCTGGTCTTTTCTTAAAACTCAGTCTACATCTTTCAAATGAAGAATTTAATCTGAATATATTCGAGGTTATTTTTGATAGTTTAGGACTTACTCCTCTCATTTTATTGATTGCTTTCTGGTTTGTTTTATATCCTTTGTTCCTTATTTCTTCTCTCATTGTTTATTTTTGTGGTTGGGTGATTTTCTGTAGTAATAGGGTTTGATTCCTTTCTCCTTTTCCTTTGTGTATCAGCTCTCCCAGTGAGTTTTACAGTTTCATATGGTTTTGCCTTTTCACTTCCATATGTAAGACTCCCTTAAGCATTTCTTGTAAGACCAGTCCAACAGTGATTTAAAAAACAAACAAGAAAAACCCTTAGCTTTTGCCTATCCATGAAAGACTTTATTTTTCCTTTTCTGTTCTTTTCTGAATGATAGCTTTGTAAAATATAGAACTTCTGACTGCCAGTTTTTCTTTCAGTGCTTTGAGTATATCATCTCATTCTCTCCCGGACTGTAAGGTTTCTGCTGAAAAATTTCATGTTATTTTAACAAGGATTTTTTAAAATAGGTGACTAGCCACTTTTGCCTGGCTGCTTTTAGAATTTTTTATTTGACTTTTGGCCACTTGAATACAATATGCCTTGGAGAGAACCTGTCTGGGTTAAATATATTTGAGGTTCTATGAGTTTCCTGGATCTAGATGTCCGTCTAGTTTCTAACACTTGAAAAGTTTTCACCTATTACTTCATTAAATATGTTTTCTATTACTTTTCCCTTCTTTCCTCCTTCTGGAAAGCCCATAATTGGAAAAGCCTATATTTCCATTCACTAGAATGTGAATATTTGTTCACTTAATTGTGTTTCATAAATCTATTGTTTTCTTGTTTTCATCTGCCCATGTTATTTCAAAAGACCTGTCTTCAATTTCAGAAATTCTTTCTTCTGCTTGGTCTATTCTGTTGTTGAAGATCTTGTGTTTTTTGTTTCATTCACTATGTTCTCAGCTGTGGGATTTGTTTGGTTCTTCTTAATAATATCTATCTCTGTGTTGGATTTCTCAAATGATGCGCTGTTTCCTGATTTCACTGAATGTTCTTCTCTCTCTCTCTCTCTCTCTCTCTCTCTCTCTCTCTCTTTCTCGATGGTGTCTTGATCTGTTGCCTGGACTGGAGTACAGTGGTGTAGTCATAGCTCACTGCAGCCTCAAACTCCTGGAAACAAGTGATCTTCCCACCTCAGTCTCCCAAACAGCTAGGACTACAGGCACACGGCACCATACCCAGCTAAATACAAGGTCTCACTGTGCTGCCCAGGCTGGTCCTGAATTTCTGGACCCAAGTAATTCTCATGCCTTAGCCTTCCCAAGTCCTGGGATTAGAGGCATGAGTCACCACACCTAGCCTTCATTGAGATGTTATATTCTCTTGGCTCTCACAGGTCTCCTTGAGATTATTATTTTAAATTTTTTCTGGTACCTTGTTTATTTCCTTATGATTGGAGTCTGTAACTGGAGAATTATTGTGTTCCTTTGAAGGTGTCATTTTTTCAAATTTTCATGTTTGATGCTCCCTACAATGAATTCTATGAATGTGGTAGAATCTTATGAAGTCTCTTTCAGAGAGAAATATTCATTTAGATGGGTCTTGGGGTGTCAGTTCAGTGGGGAGTGTTAGTTTTGGCTCTACGTGGATGTAGTAGCATAGTTTCCATGTAGTTTCTTCATGTGTAATAAATGCTAGTAAGTTTGAAAATATCTCAGTGGCCAGACTGAGAGAGTTTGTGCTGGTAATGGTGAAGTTTTGCCAGGGGTGAGATCACCAGGTTATTTCTCAAGTTAGGGACACATGCATGGCATGCACAGTGATTCAGCCCACTTGGAGTCTAGCACACTGGAGTTGGGATCAGGATCTGTTACTTTGGAAGAGAGCACAGGCAAACAGTTGTCCACCCAGCCTCAGAGTGTACCTGCCAGGACAACCTAAGGGGATATTTCTCAGGCCCAGGTTGTAAACTCCCAGCTACTTGGCTGGCCTGGGGTCGTGTCTGCTGTAGGTGGCCCACATGGCTGTTTTGCAGGGCTCATGTGCAGCACATACCTTTTCAGCTGGCCTGGGTGTGTGTGTGTCTGCTAAGGGTGGCACCCAGAGCTTTTTCTCAGATTTGGGATGTGAACACAAGGCTGTTTGCCTGCCCAAATGGGTGCCATCCAGTGGCAGCCCATGGGGCTACTTCTCAGACCTGGAATGCAGGCACACAGCTGCTCAACCAGTTTTTGGTCATGTTTACTAGGGATGGCTTGAGATGGGGGCACACAGCTGCTTGGCCAGCACGGAGCCATGTTTGCCATGAGTGGCCAATGATGCTATTTATCATGGTCTCAGGAGAGGGGCCTTTGGGCTGACCAGAGAGGTGCCTGCAAAAAAAAAAGGCTGGGTGCCATGAGGCTGCTTTTTAGGCCCTGGGTGTTAGCATACAACCACTCCACCAGCCTGGGAGTGTGTCAGCTGTTTGGTAGCCCAGGGACCACCCCTGTTGGTTGGCTCAAGGGTGTGTTCACCCTGAGTTGGACTACCAGATTCATCCTCCAACTGGGAGTACAGGCAGCAGGGATTGGTTTCCCTGTTGTGCAGGACTAAGGTCACAGCCAATCCTTGTCCCAAGGTCCATGTAACTGGAGTTGTGGTGTTCAGTCACTAGTGCCAGCTTGGTGGAATGAAGATGGAGTCCCAGCTCAAGATGTGCAGTGGTTACTGGCCCCCTGAGAAAGGTGACTCTGGTCTCAAGATAGTGCCTTCCTGCAGTACCTTGGCCCACAGGGGCTGGATGAGGATTGGAGAGTACATATCTTGTGCTCCTAATCCAGATCAGTGCAGCAACATGAATTCCTGGCAGTTCTTCCAACTGGGTTCAGGGTTTGTGCAGACCGTGGGATTCTCTTGTAGTGAGAACTTTAGGAATCTGAGGTGGTAGTGGGGGTTAGTATGATTCTTCTCCTTGCCTTTTCCCTGCAAGGAAAAGTCTCTTCTGTCTCTGGGCCAAACCAATCCAGGCAGAGGAGATGAGGCTACAGAGGCTGAGTGCCTCCATGCTGCCTTTCTGGACTTTCAATGACCACTGGTGCCTCTCCACTTTCCCACTGCACTCCAGGACCCTCCTTTCAACACTCCACTCAAAACTTAGCTGTTTATCTACTGGCATGGTCCTTCCTTTTAGATGGGATGAGCACCAGTCATCTCTAATAGCCATCTTGCTCCAACAGGGACATTTTTAATAGACTTTTTTTTTTTAAAGAACAACTTCAGGTTCATAACAAAATTGAATGGAAACCTCCAGTCACTAAATGTCTAGGGGGCATTTTAAAATAAATACTATCTCTTATGTGTTAGATTCACAGGAAAATTGAGCAGAAATTACAGAGACCTCCCATGTATCCTCTAACCATATACTTGCATGGCCTCCTCCATTATCAACATCACCCACCCAAGTAGTATATTTGTTACAATGAATAAATCTACATTAATACACCATTGTCACCTGAAGTCTGTAGTTCACAGTAGGCTTTACCCTTGGTGTTGTACATTCTGTGGGTTTTGTCAAATGTGTATAATATATATCTACCACAAAAGTATCATATAGAATAATCTCGCTGACTTAAAACTCTCTTTGAGGTCTTTTTGTTTTGTTTTGTCAATCCCTCGGTCCTTGGCCCTGACCTCTGTTCAAAGACAATGCTCTCCATTGTCTTATTTTCATTGATCTTGGCATCTGGTCCCCTCACTGGATAATAAGTCCCATTAGAGCAGGGGTAGTTCCCATAGTTGTACTCACAGAACTGTTTACAGATGATGCCTAGAGACATATCCTTGACTCTGGGAGTTGGGATCTAGGATGCATGGCCAGACAGGTCCAGGAGAGCTATCTGGGTCTGACCTAAAGGTCTGGCCCACCTTGCTTCTGGACCCTTATGGACAAACAAAGAATCACCTTTGACCTTGAATAAATGGGGATGGTTGAGACCAGGAGAGGGGACTCAAATACCCTCCCTGGAAAGAAAGAAGAGACAAGGCCTAGCAGCATCCTGCAGAGGTCTCACTATTTCTGTCTCTCTCTCTCTGGAATGCTCAAGGAACTCAGGGGTTTATAATCCTGCAGTGGCCAGTTCTAAAGCCTATTGCAGAGAGACCCAGGATGAAAAGAAGCCTAGGGCCTAGACGAGATGGAGTTACTTGGATAAGAGAAAAAGGCCTAAACAGGAGGTGTTAGATGGACCATGTCCTTCATTTCATGGTTGCAGTGAAAGCTGAGGTCATATGATGAGTGGGAAGACATAGGGGCCAGCCCTATTTTGGAGGTAAAGGCACCCCTCTCTATGTTACAGAGAAGAGAGATCGGCAGAATAGATAAGCATACACCTGTTTATCAAGTTTGGAGTTCACCCAAGTCTCTTGTCTGCAGGGAAACCAGAAACCAGAGCAGGATTGATTCAGGGAGTCATCATGGGAGCTGGTGCCATGGCCCTGCTTGCTCTCTGTCTCTGCCTCACCTTCTTCATGTAAGCATTGGTTCTGGGTTAGGTGTCGGCCAGAGGTGAACAGAAGGGATCTGGGGTGGATGGGATCTGGAGGGGATATGAGGGTCTGGAGCAAGGGCAGTAGAGGTGCATGGTGTTGAGAATCCAGCCTTTAGTTGCTGGGCTAGACGTAAGTCTGTTTCCAGCTCCTGATCTCAGATGTTCAATAAATGGGAAGGGAGAGGGTGACTTTCTTGCAAAATTTTGTTTGAAGATTCTTGGGCTAATCCCATCCTCTACCTGCCATAGTTACTCTTTCCAGGCTTACAACATTAAACACACAGCCTGAGTAAACCAGGCTCAAAGACCTTGGTGTCTCCCATCAGAGTGAAGACCCACAGAAAGAAATTAGCCAGTACAACAGTGGGCAAGAATGACGCCTACTTTGCTACAGGACCAGAATCTCTGGTGAGTGATGGGGATCTGGGCATCCAGTCTGCCCTGAAGACACCTCCCCATAATCATGTCCCATCCAGCATGTCCAGAACAGAGCTCATCACCTTCCCTCTTGTTTTATATTAAAGGTTTTAGTATTGCTCAGGTATGGCAAAGTCAACAGATCAGGAGGTGACCGCTATTGAAAACACAGTTTATTATTCACAGTTCTAAGAGGAGAGACACAGCACACCATGCAAGGCCACATGAAGAAGCACCAGGGTCAGTTGGGGGGCAGAGGGAGTGAGGGGAAAATGAGGACAAGAGCTTTTATTATGCCGTTCATGGAAAGGAATGGGCAAGACAAAAATAAGAAGGCTACACAGGTTTAGAATCGGCTCCTGTAGATAATTTCAGCAGATTCTGGGGACAAATTGTCTACTATCTGGCCCTGGGGTATTACGGCAGGATAACAGTGGTCTGGAGTATGAGTTTGATAAAGAATGCGGTTGATGGTATGGGCTTTAGATTGATTGGTTTGCACAAGAAAGGCACACTTGTAAGCAAGTCCTTTACTGTCTCTAGAAATCTGCTATCCCTGGGAGAGACAGTCTCTCAAGCATTAGCAAGATTCTGGATATAAAAACATCAGAAGCATATAATTAAAACCCCTAAACATGCATTTGCAGTATTTTCAAATGCAGAGGTGGAATAAACATAAGGTATGAGCAAAGATAGCTCTTAGCCTCTGCATGATGGATGTCAGAGATACAGGTGGCTCCACAGATGACAGCAGATGTCATGGATGTTCATGCATGTCCAAGAAGATTCACACGTGGCTCCATAGATGATGACAGGTATCATAACTGTTTATGCATGACCAAGAAGATTCCATAGATGTCACAGATTTTCGTAGATGCCAAAGATCATGTCCATGCAGTCGCCCAGAATGCAAACTTAAAGAATTGAATCACCAATGACTAAAATTGCCGACCTTTTAGAAGGATATTTACAAGTGTGGATCAAACATTATTTTGGCTACAGTACATTTGAGGTGCCTCTGAGACATCCAAGTGGAGATGACAAGTCGATGGGAAGAGTCTGGAGGTGGAAGATGGGAGACATGGAAGTCTGAGGGTCTCCACATTAAGATATCGTCATGGAAGATCCCACAAAGAAAAGGAGTCCATAGACACAACCCTGGGGCCCTCGAGCATTTCATGTCAGGATAAGGTGAAAAATGGCAAGAAGTCTGAAAAGGAGTGGCCACTGAGTAGAAACAAATGGGTAGGAGAGTGCAGTCCTAGTGACCACGGGGAAATGGAGCTTCAAAGATCATTTGTTCAAATGGTCATTTGTTTCAAATGCTGTCAAGTACAGTAAGATAGAGAAACAACCATTTGAATTTAACTAAGTGGTATTACAGCTGCTCCTGACAAAAGCAGATCTGGTCCCCTGGTGGAGGAAGATCTCTTGGCTGAAGAGAGTTCAAGAGAGAATGGGAGGAGAGGAGGTGGAAACGGTAAGTGTCAGGGACTCTTGAGAAATATGCCAGTAAACCTAGAGTTGAGAAATGGGCCTGCAACAGGAAATGTTTGTACTCTGTAAACCTTTACCAGTTCTAGCAGCATGTGATGCTGTCTTCCAGGATACCACATCACCTACATGTATAAGGACTTTTTACCCCTTGAGGTACCTGCATTCCCATGGCTTTTCCCACGACACTGTGAGCTCCACAAGGACAAGGACATTTTTATTAGACCTCTGTTATTCTACTCTCTGCTGTTCACCTGCTCACTGTCACAAGGCACAATTGCATGTTTATTTTCCAGTCTACTTCTGTCTTCATCCCCTGCAGTGCTGGAAGTCACAGGACCCACCTTTGCTTTGTTCCCTCCTGTGAATCCAGTGCCCAGACATAGGAGGTCTCAAAGATCTGGGTCTGGGTTTATAGTTAATAGATGTGTAATTTGGGAAGTACCTAAGCTCTCTGAGACTTAGTTTCCCTATCAGTGAAATGGGCCAAATAACAGATGCCAAGGATTATGCCAAGGCGGTTGCTCAGAATTTTTCCACATAGGTCTGTGTGAGTGGTCAGGAGAATTGAGAATCAACCAATAAGTGCTCTGCATGTGAATAACTGAGTAGGTGGGATCTTAAGAAATGTTTGATGAAAGAGTGAATAAATGTCCTGTCAAAATCAAATGAATTACAAGGACCTCTCTGCCTTCCCCTGGTGCCCTTCCCCAATGCCCTGCTCTAACCCGCTTCTCTCCTCTCTGCACAGGAACACCAGAAGTCCAGGTTATATGACCCCATTGACTTCTCAAGCCCTTCAGAGGATATCCCCACAATGGAGGTAGAGGAGGACCTACATTATGCCTCCCTCAGCTTTCACAGATGAATTCTGCGAAGGGCACTGCCACCTAATACTCAGAGGTCAGGACCCAGTAAGAAGTTGACAGGAACACTGGTCTCAGCCAGAAGATCCATATATTCTACAGGAAGAGGAACTAATAGCTGATTCTCGAAGATTTAGCACCCCACAGGCTTATAAGCCATATGTGAGTTTCTTGCTGTATTGACATTATCTTAGACTTTGCAGTCAGAGAGCCCTGGGATCAAATCTGTGCTCTTTTGTTTTCTGAGATTATGACATCAGGTGAGCTACTTTACCTTCCTTGTCTCGATTCCCCACTCTATAAAATGAATGCAAGAAGTCCTATCTCACAAAATTGCTGTGAGGATTAAATAAAGGTACCTGGTGCATAGTGAGAACTTGGTGTATACTGGTTCCTTCCCTCTTGCACAGAAGGCATTAGTGACATTTGGCCCAGAGTCTCAGTGTATCCTTTCCCAGAATCGCATCAATCAACATGTCCATCTCACTAGCTGCTCAAAAGCCCAACGTGGATGCCCTCCACTCCTGAATTTTCCCTTTCCATTCCACCTGTCTTTTACTTGGATTTTTGCCTCCTTCAGGGTAGAAATTTGGGGGATTTTCTGAAACTCAGAGCTGACCATGGTCAAAATACTTCCCCGGCTCCCTAACCCACAAGAATAATATGCAAGCTTCTCAACATGACATTCTAAGACAGGGATCAGCAAACCCTATTTTTAAATAACCAATAGTACATATTTTAGGCTCTGCAAGTCATAGGATCTCTGCTGCAACCATTCAAATCTACCACTGCAGGGTAAAACCAGTCATAGACAATCTGGAAATGTATAAATAGCCGTCTTCCAAGAAATTTTTTCCCCCACAATAACAGGCAGACCATGGGCTGTAGTTGTTGGCCTCTATTTTAGGTGGCTCTTAATCTCATCGAGTCTACTCCTCCAATACCACATCCTATCCAAAGCCATTCTCTACAGACCCCAGACCCCATTCTGTGTGCATCCACTTTCCTCCTCCAGGGGGGCCCATCCTATGTCATCATCAGCTAACACCTTCTTATTCTTCAAAATGAGCTCAGAGGTTGATGCTGGGGTTGAGGTGGCCGAGGGAAGTAGGAGCTCCTAATCTTTCTCCTCAAGTGCCTAATTAAAATAATAAAAATCAGGTTAAGCAAAAACAGCCTCAAATTCACCAGCAGCACCCAAACCATGACAGAGATGAAAGAGTTGTGCCACAAGACGTCTCCTTATGGTAATGGCAGGCTGGTGATGGGATCAACCTGTCTGCTAAAACTGGTCCAGACAAGAAGGCATCAACCCATTTTGTCCCTGCTCCTCCCCCCTAAGCACAACTATAAACTCTGTAAATGGTCCAAGAGACACTAAAGGAGACCGCTGAAGACTGGTGAGAAGAAGGTGAACTGGTTTGGGACCCCAGGACTGGAAGAACAACACACAGGTCAGGCATCTTGTTCTCCCATCTCCCCCAACCCAAGAGAGGACCCCCAGACCTCCATTTCCCAACCCCTGACCCAGTAACAGAGGCACCAGTTGGGCTCATTAGGCTTACACTCTCCTGGGTGGAACTGGAATCCCCTGACAACATCAGGTGAATCCCCCATCACCAGGAAGGGGAACCAGTTGGAGTTCTCAAAAACAAGTAGTCAGAAAGCACTACCCTTCCCCATCAGGCCTGAGACTCTCCTCTTCTGTCCAGAGATACTGGGGCCAGTGGGAAGAAGTGGAGGGAGGATCCAGGCAGTAATAAATCCTGAGCCTGTTTGCTCTTTTATTGGGGTATAAAGTCTAGCCTCTCACTTCCAAGAGGGAGGGTGGTGTGCATGTGTGTCTGTGTGTGAAAGAGACAAAGAAAGAGACACAGACAGAGGTAGAGAGACAGAGAGAGATAGAAGGACAGAGAGAGACGGAGAGAGATAGAAAGTCAGACAGAAACAGAGACAGAGAGACAGAGACATTGGTAGGAAGTAAGCTATTTACAAGGCAGTACAGAAACCAGAAAACAAAGGGGCTTAGCAAGCACAACCCCTTCCCTGTGGCTCAGCCAGGTGGGGCAGACAGGCAGACATCGTCCACAGCAGGGACACAGTCTGGATGAACAGGAGGAGGGGGAAAGGAGGCCGATAGGGAGTCCTAGAGGGGAGCCCAAGAGGGGAGCCCGAGAGGGGATCCCTCCTGTGTGCTCCTCCCTGACTCCATCCACCCCTCTCATGCAAGCCTGGACACCTCCCACCCCCTTGCCTTCCTGGGTTAGGAAGGGCTCCTGGTGAAAGGACCAATCGGGTCACAGCCTCACCTCACCATAGACCCAGACTCAGTCTCAGTCTGGCCAAGAGTTCCAGGGGACCTCAGGCCAGAACCGCAATGGTTGCCTAACTGAGCCTCCGGGCCCACGGATATGCTGACTGACAGTCCAGTATATGCAGTCCCGAAGCAGGGCCTGTACGCAACAACTGCCAGGGACAACAGGCCAGACACGACTGCCTCAAGCCAGTGACCATCAGCCTTGCAGCCCAGGGAAGGAAGCCTAAGGGCGCGCGACAGTCTTCCCAGATCCAGTCAGTTCGTCTCTGGGAGGTGTGTCCACCCTGCAGCCAATCAGCGGCTGCATGGGCCTGTGGTACAGCCAATCAGCAGCAGCATGGACCTAGGTCTGCAACCAATCAGTGAGGCACATGAAGCCTGAGTCCACAGACACGTGCCTCTGGGATAAGAGCCAATCAGGAGCTGAAGGTGCAAGTCCCTCCTCCCTCCCACGTTTAATACAGTTGGAAACTTGGCAGCTTCAGCCAATCAGCAATTGTCGGCGGTACCAGGCAAGCAATTTTCTACGCCAATTTTCTTAGCGCAGTCTTTCCTGACCTTGGTGTTGAAATCATGCCATCCTCCAGCCCTGAAGACTCTAGTCCTCTTGATGAGCCCTGTTTAGGCTTCTCAAACTTTACCCACTGCATGCTTTCAAAGCGCTTTTTCTACTCAGTCATATTTCTGGGACTGCCCTCCCCCCCATGTAAGCTCACCGTGGACAGAGTGCTATGCCATTTTTTTTCCTCCCTGCTGTTTCCTCCGCGGTCTTGGTTCCATACTGCCAGCTGGTCTGGTATGAACTTGCCTCCCAGGTGACCATGCTCATCTTTCGCCTCCCTGCTCACCTGTCCCACCTCCAACAGATCCTCACTCCCTCTTCTGGGCTCCCACAGCCCGGTCCTCAGCCCGGATCACACCAGGCTGTTACTCTCTCTTTGTCCTCCATCCCATATCCCCAGGGGTGCCTTCTCAGTATCTGCCACCCCAGCCCAGTCCCACCCTCTCTCCCCCCGTCCCCCACCTCCTGCCCCAGAGACCCTATCCCACAGATGGGAAGGAATACCCTAGGCTGCAAAAGCAGAGAAGGGTGTGGCCAGTAGAGCCCACTGTTCTGTCTGGGGGAGGGGAGGACAACTCTGGAGGGTAAGTAACAGTCGTGCAGAAATCAAAGCTGCTGCAGAAACAACAGAGGTTTCCTCTGGTTACCAAACCTGCCACTTCCCTTTCCTTTCTTGTCTTCTGAGTGGCCCCACCTGACAGACTGGCCATTGACCGCTGTGTGACTTTGTGTCCACTGTGGACCAGACCAGACTGTGCTGAGCACTTATTTGTAGGAACACAAGAAGCTCTCTTGATGACTCCATGTATTAGTTAACCAGGGCTGCCACTACAAAGGAGCACAGACTGGGGGTAGGAGTGGGGGCGGTATTTAAACAACATGTGTATTTTATTGTTCATCCTTCCAGAGGCTCAAAATCTGAGATCAAGGTGTCAGCAGGCTCAGTGCCTTCTGAGGCCTCTCTCCATGGCTTGTAGATGGTGTCTTCTCTCTGTGTCTTCACATAATCTTCCTTCTGTGCATGTCTGTGTATTGATCTCCTCTTCTAATAAGGACACAAATCATGTTAGATTAAGGCCCACCCCCAATGACCTCATTTTAACTTAATCACTTCTTTAAAGGCCTTATCTCCAAATACAATCACATTCTGAAGCACCGGGGTTTAAGATTTCCACATATGAATTTGGGGGTTACAATTCAGGCCCTATCACTCCTTGAGCATGGGCACTTCACTATGTATGGAGTGTTAATCCCCTTCCCAAGACAGCACACAGAACATTAGAGAGCCATGCTCAGGACAGCAACCATCTGGCAACAGAGACTGTGTCTCTGACTCCACTGCTCTGGGGGCCCTATTGAGGAAGCCCTGGGCAGTGCAGACCACAAGAAGCTCCTCACTGAGGGCACTTGATCACTGAGGTTGGGCAAGGCTGGACACTTGGACTCTCTGGACCTATCCAGGGACACAGCAAAATAGTCATGCCTGAGTCTGCCTCCTCACATTGAATTCTCCCACAGACTGATGGTTAGGGTTGTGATCCCTCCATGTGACAGATGACAAAACTAAGGCTTGGAGGGAAGAGGGGCCAGGACTATCAGCTCTGAAGTTGAGGCCAGGGCCTTCCCCCAACATCTTGCCATCAGCCTTGCTCCACACACTGGGCTCTCGGGACCTAGTCCACGCAGTCACCATGAGGGACACCTGGGGCAGAGGGCAGAGAATAGGTTAGGAAGCTCTAGGACCACCTGTGAGGCCACATCCTCATGACCTCTTGGAGTCTTGATCCTGTCCACTCTGCTCATTGTGCCTGAGAACTCACCTCCTAGCTTCACAAGGCAGTGGGGTTTTCACAAGCCCCTGCGTGTGTTTCCCCCATCACACCCCTTACTAACAGGAGCTGGGAGGGCCAAAGGCTTCTTTCCCTCCTCATTCGCTAGAGAACTTCCCAATGAGAGAGACAAGGTCTGTCACAGTCTCCCCTTTGCCTCCACTCCCTGAATGAGTAGATGTTCCCAGGGTGGATTTTCTTAAATACCACCTTCTTTACCCTGGGAACCCCTCCCCATCTTTGGAGGAGCCTCACAGTTTCTTCACCTGCCTCTCCTGAGCCCAGCCCTGGTAG